TGACACCGGAGTACGAAGAAATGAGGCTTCGAAAATCAAATTGACAAACGCGACGTCTCCTCTCCCTCTGTGTATTTATCTCCTCTACCTTTGCGGCCGCGTTCGCGGCTGGCAGGGCTTTACTGTAACTCGTTCATCTCGCTTCATCAAAGATCTAACGGTTCAGGATGCCGGTGCTTTGAAAATCCGAGTCTTCCTAGGACTCGGGTGCTGGCGCACGGTATTCCACTTCTTCCTTTAGCCGCGATCTATGCGAATCGCGGACACGTGCTGGCGCTCGCTCATCTCGCCTAGCTCGCGCCGTTCGTTGCAACTGTACTCGATCGCAGACATCTACATTATTTACCTCGCGTGCCTCCTTCTCGTTCCATCCTGCAGGTCCCTCCCGGCCGAGGAGGCCTCCTTCACATCGGCAATTGCGCGCGCGTAACCATTTATAGGCGCGAGCCGATCGTGTGCGTGCGCAAGTACGTACGTACGCGAGCGAGCGCAACGAGGTGGTCGAGCGGCCTCCTTGCCTTTCTTTGCAGGTCGCGGCGCAAGTCGTCCATCGGTCGACCCAGCGAGAGGCGCCAGCAGAGAAATTACTTTTTCCATTTTTCTTTCGCCGCGAGCGAGCGAACGATCCAGCAATGTATATCGCCGCTCGCGCCATTTCCATGAGCGAACGGACACAGCGAGTGCAACTTTTCTTTGTTACAATTTGGAACGTGTGTACGCCATAACGTATCCGAGCGGAACGTTTTGGCTCGATTCGCTCGTAAGATTAGATAGGAGGAAAGTCCGTAGGCGTCCGGACGCGAATATTACTCATCATAGTTAAAAAAGCAAACTGGTCTTTTTCATCAATTTCCCCACAGATCTGTTGTTTCCGAAGGGACGGGAAAATTCGTTTAGGAACATTCACCGTTCGGTTGAAACCTGCCACATTTATATTTAAGTGAAGTTAATATGTCACGTGACGCAACATATTATAACTTCGTTTAACCCTTTTAGTGCCGAACGACGATATATCGTCGTGCGCAACACTTGCGAAAAGTGCCAACGGCGATGTATCGTCGCGTTTTATATTGATGCTATTCGTATGACTTTCAACAAATTTTGAAATACAATTGGCATTACTTTATTCTTTCTTTATCTCGTAATATGCTGCTTTTTGAATTCTCTAAATAACCCTTTTAGTTTGGTTTTTACGAGCTTCTTCCCAAACCTTAACAAATTCGTCAAATTGTCTCGATATTCTTCGCATAGGTACGATACCTTTGCTCAGCACTAAAAGGGTTAAGTATCTTTCTCGTGAAAAGAAGCAGGCAGGTTTTAACTGAGCACACACGCGTGAATTTTCCCAGACAAATCTTTCTATCTTTGTTAAGAGAGAGAGAGAGAGAGAAAGAGAAACCGAAAAAATCCGCAAAAAAATGGAAAAAAAGAACCGTGTTTTTTTTTTCTCAGACCAACAGCGTCCTTTGGCAGAAATGTCATTGCCGTCGGGCTGAGATCGATCGATCAGAGAGATTTATCGTCCGCGTGTAACAGTGGCATACTAAAATTTTCGGTCATCGGAGTGAGAAACGGACCGTTCCGTTTTCGCCGAGACACCGAGGAGGGAGTCGTCCGAGATCGAGGCGCGATTAGGGCTCGCGGTTTCGCGAGAAATTCGCCGCTTAAAACGAGAGAGACCCGTTGGAGGCGCGCACCGTGGGGTTGACATATATCCCGAGTCACCGCGGCGCTTCCCGGGCGAGATATGATCGGAGACACGCGCCGCATTGAAAAGATTACGCCAGCGAAATACAGCACGCATCTTAATGCCGGTACGGCGGGTGCACACGTGATGCAACGCAGCTGCTCCTCCACGCCCATCGATCCTTCCGCTCTTGTTCTTTTTCGACACAACTGACCCCTCGACACGACACGTTCGTGCCGCGCAACGTAAGACATCCGCCCGATAGGTTTCACGGCGTTCTCGATGAAAATAACAGTAAGAAGAACGATAAAAGCGCATTTTTTTGCCTTTGCGGGAGAGTAAAATCGTGCCCGACGGTGTGACGTGCATGTATTTTGCTCCTGGCTGGAGCGGCATTTTTCACTACGCTCGTAACATAAACAGCCTATCGTTCTTACCGCCGTTTACCTTCGAGAGCGTTCGCATCTTTCCTCCTCGGTGGAGGTAATCGAAGGCATCTCGCGCTCCGGTTGGCTTCCTCTTTCTCCCCTTCGAAATTACGATCAGTCGGTCGAGTTTTGCAAATCGACGACGACGAGGCCCAGTTCGGAAGGACGCGCGAGCACGGCGGAGTTGTCCGCGCGCGCGTGTGTGCACCCGCTGCTGTTGCTCCAGGTTCAGTGACATCACGCACGCATATGCGTGACGCGCCGTGTGCACCGTTATGCCCATAGCCTGCCCCATAGCGCCCACTGCGGAAGTATCGCCATATTACTCAGCGGTACGACATATACGCGACGATCGGCGCCCATGCCGGTGTACGCGCACCAGGTCGATGTATCTTCGCGACTATGCTTGCCGTTAACCCGCCGATGCTTCGCGATCGCGCGGGGGGAGAGGAAAAAAAAAGAGGAAGGGGAGAAAAGATGCGCTTCCTCCTGTGCGTAACGACCGCGCGATGATGTACGTCGCTCGCCCATCGTCTCCTCTCGCTCGTTATCCTATCTCTCTCTCTCTCTCTCTCTATTTATCTGTTTTTAACTCGCCGCCGTGGACGTTCCCCTCGCGAGGTTGTATTTTTCGAGTTTTTTCGCCAGCGTCTGGATAAAAAAAAGTGATTCGCGAATAGCGTCTGGGACCTTCGGAATTTGCATGGCGATCGCCGTGAGGCGAAGTTCTAACTGGAAAGGAAGTCGAGGAGGCCTCGATGAAGGCAAAACGACGGTCGGCGACCGGTCGCTCAGTGCCAAGGACACCGAGCCGGTAGACAATACAGCCTTCGTTAACGCGGGGAAGCAGCCTCTAATTACCCTCTCCTTCTCTCGTTACATTTTTATCCGCGCATCCTCCTGCGTCTCCTCCTCTTAGCTGCGCGTTACCATTCCATTATCGCGGGAAGGAAAAGCCCGTCCCGTGATGCAAACGCCGATGATCTCGTTTGCGTAATTATTAAGACGGGTCGGATCCGTGCGATAATCGGGCAGAAGGAGTGAGTGCGCGGGTTTTACCTCCCGATTCGTCGTCCGTCCGATAATTGGATACCTTCCGCCACACGATATCGAGAGCACACGTCGGTGACACGCGCGATCGATTAAAAATAGATGCCACGGTGTATTCGTTGCATATCAATGCGACTGTGACTACGGGTCGCTAGCCGTTTTCAAGGAAACGCCACCGTCTGACCTCCGCCGTCGCGGCCATTACATTTGAGGTCTGTCCGAGCTGTCGCGAGCCGCCGGGTGCAATTTCGGACCACGCGATAAGTATATCGGCGATAACGGCCGGTTGATCGAGGAAAATTTTCTCGAAAACAGAGCGTCACGAAAGCGTGAGTGGACAAATTCTCGAGGGCAATTACGAGCCTATTATTCGGAGATCTGTCATTTGATTTTTGTCTCTCGTGTAATTCGCGCCTGCGCTGCGACTCGCTATTGTGGATAATCGATGAAAGCGAGATCGCCGGCGCGCGACTATATACGAAACGTTCGCATAATTCAACGCGATCGCCGAGCATTCTTCGCGGTCTTGAACCACCCACGGACGGAGGCCGGAAGTGTATTCAGAAATCTTTCGTGCGAGGCGATTTCTGCACTCTGGCAACACGATATCTCCGTGAAAAGGTGGAAAACCGTACGCACCGTTTTCGGATTGATCGCAGACGGTAAACAGGAAAACCGGAGGAGGACGCTTCGTATAATCCTTCCCTCGTGTTCAGGGCAACCCTTGCAAATTTGAATGAAGATTACCTTCGACAAACCGCCGTCGTCCTCGTGAACTTTGCTCTCCCTCTTTCCATCGATATTGTTCAGCGAGCACAAAAGAGATTCACTTATTTGATTTTTATTTATACGGAAAGTATCCCTTTTGCGCGGTAGATTGGACGATCTGCATACACCGAGAAAATGAAATACAAATGAAAGGATGAGGTATTTTGAGTAATTTTACTGACGATAATTTTAGCTCGAGATTTAAATATCAGGATATTTATTATGGAGGATTTTGTAATTGGCTAATACGCTTGTAGAATAGCCTTCATTCAAACTTTGACGGAAAGTGGTCATAATTTTCAAAAATAGAAGAAACATACCTTGTTGAAAATTCAATATTTACACGAAATTCCTCCGTTCTTGTTACGTCCCGCGGGAGATTCGATAGCTAAGCAAGGTTTAATATCCGGTTCAGCTTTATCAGCAGTAATTCGACGCGACCGTAAGCCGTAAAGAATTTGATAAACAGCCGCAAGAGTGCAATCGGAACTATTTATAATATTAGAATACTGGCACAAACCTGATCTCCCGTATCAGCCGATTCAGCCGAGTACGTGTAATCGTCATCAGATTTTTCACGCGATTGTGCCGCGATATCCAGTCCTCCGTCTGCGAATACGAAGCGTCGGCTCGAACAAGAGGCGAAGAAGCAAAGAGAAAGAGAGAGAGAGAGATGACGTTTTACAAAAATAAAATCACACTTTAACAATCAACCGCTAACTTACTACAAAGGCGATTTCTCTAATTGGCACCAAAGGTCAAGGAGAGGCGCGAGGAGGCTCTGTCCGCGCGCGGGAATCGACGTTTTCCGCGAGAATAGGAAATTACGTGGAAACAAAGCGTCAGAGCCCGTGAGGTAGACGAGGATGAGCGGTCTTCTGCGGCGTTACCGATAAAGACGGAGGAGAGGAAGAAGAAACGAGCAGACGGGAAGGAACGTTCGCGATATAGAGGCCTGGTGAAGAAGCGAGAGAAACGAGAGGAGGAACCTAAAGGCAAAGAGAGAGGGAGAGAAAGAGGGACGGGAGGGGAGGAGGGCGAGAGGAAGAGAAAGAGAAAGAAGGCGACAATCGCTACGCTCGCGGTTGGCTCGAGCGAGAGGGCGCATGGCCTTGGCCGCTGCTGCGGGGTAATTCAGTCAAGGTTTCGGCCGATGAACTTCCTCCGACGGGAGGAAGGAGACCCCGCCGCGGCCGGTCGTGGTGGGGAAGACGGGCCGACCAATCGCGCCGGCACGGGGCCCGCCGTGCAGCCGACCGATTGGTCGGGTCCGCAGCGGCCGCGACGGCACGGGCCCGCCGGCAACTTGTCAGTGACCTCCAACATTGAAAATACGATGAACTCTCGGGGGCCCTGTAAGAGAGCGCACGGAGCAATGTGTTGTGTGTCCTCTACTACATACTAGGTAGCCAGGGCGTAGACATTGTAGATGGCCGAGGCGGCCTGACAGCCTGGCGAGCGCGCGAGCAGGCAGTCAGGCAGGCAGGTAGGCAGGCAGGCAGGCAGGCAGGCACATCAATCCCTCCCCTCCACCTCAAAGTTACTCAGAGTGCCGAGTAAGGGCTGCACGGCCCCCAGGTAACCAACACTCGGCAGCGCCGAACTCGAGTCAGACCAACGCGAACCTCCCTCGAGCGAAGACTTACTTTCACTCTCTCTTCAGGCTACCATCCCGCCCGCTCGCTCTAACACCTGGCCGTAACCTTCCGGTGGGCAGAGAGATATCGCGCGCGTTCTCCCCGCGGATCGATTATTTATTTGGTGACCGGTCGTCAGTGAGCGTGGTGACAGTGAGGGAGAGAGAGAAAGAGAGATAGAGGAAAATTGAGAGAGAAAGACAGAGAGAGAGAGAGATAAGAGAGGGAGAGAAAGGAGGGTGGACCGGCGAGAGCGATGTCGTAAAAGTGGAGCCGACATCGTCGTTTACCGAGTGCAGTGTCGTGGGTGCCGCTGGATACCGCTCGCCGCCGTAAGAGAACGCCGGCGGTGAGCGTCGTCCCTCCGGGACGCGAAACATGATCCTCACGGCGGACAGTAGCGCGCAGGACACACCGGCCGAATCGCTCGTCCGCAGCCTGCCGTCGCACGGTTCTTCCCGCGCGTCCACGCGCGTCGTCTCCACTCAGGGCATGTCTAGTCCGTATCACGTGGTGCAGTTGGCGGCCCACCGGCTCAGTCCGAGCATGCCGACGATGGACTCGACCGTCTCCTCCGCGAAGCCGGAGCCCGAGCTCAACATAGGTACGACCGATCTCTCGTCCCCGTGCGTTCGCGAGAGTAACGTTTCATACGCCGCGGGTGAAAGCGGAAAGTTGTAACACGGCGATGCTGTAACTCGCGCGCCGTCGTGGAGAGAGAGAGAGATAGATGGAGAAAGACGAGAGAAAGTGTTCTTCTTTCCCTCCCACCTTTCTCTCGCCGCCCCGCGGCGCACGTGGAAAGGAAGTCGCGGTGGAGGATATCGCGCGGCGACCTGCATTAACGGAACGGCTTCTCTCTCTTGTTTCAGAATTCGACGGGACCACCGTGTTGTGTCGCGTATGCGGTGACAAGGCGTCCGGTTTTCACTATGGGGTTCACTCTTGCGAGGGCTGCAAGGTGAGTACTCGCACGGCGATCCGCGCGATCCGATTCACCGTCGGCTGCTCCGTCAGCGCGTCCTGACGGGCTTTCTTCTCCGCCGACAGAGAATCGGATCTCGCAAGTGGATTATCCGGCAAGTCGGATCTCCGTACCGAGCGATTTCGATACGTCCGTGCGTGCTTCCGGCCGATCTCTCGTTCCATCAGCGTGCTCGTTGATCGCTTCCTTCCCCGCGAAATGACGACTCGCGTCTCGCCGAACAATCGCGCATTTTCACCATGTACCCCGGTGGTCCTTTTATATGCTAACTCGGCTAATAAAGACGTTATTATTATTATTATTATTATTATATAAAAATAGTAATATTTTACATTTTATACGTTACATATTTTATATTTATGTGCGATAACGAGAAAACATTCTGTAATGTTGAGAAAAAAATTGATAAAAATGGAGGCGCGTTTTTCCGGGCCGACGGCTTGAAATTGTTCGAAAAACCCGTGGTGATATTTCGCAGTGCAGAAATAGACGCGCCGGAACGTCGTTGATGGATCCGAACGTATCGATAATCGTGAATGTACGGCACGGTGTGGCCAGGCGGTGCGTGAATATGCGTGAGTGTGAATCCGTGAGACGGACCAAGGCTGTGAAAGAGTTGCCGACCGAGCGCACAAGTCGACCTTAGACACGCGGAAATCATAAGAGATTTAAGGTAGTCCTTGAAGTTATTTCACGACCCGGTAGTTCCCCCACATCGCCGAGGAATCTCGTCAAGGCTTCTTTCTCGATTCACGCATTATCGCCAGGGTCATCGTTCATCGACTGGTGAACGGCCCCGTAACTATTCTTATGAAAGCGTCGGTTTTCCGGTCGACCGTCTGTTTGATAATGATTTTTCCTACCGAGCCGCTGTAGTATTCGAGGTGACGAAAAGAGCGGTCGCGTATCAAGAACTCGTGTGACGCGTGAATTATGTGGAAAGTGTGTGGCCAAAGGTCGAGATGTGCGGACGTCGAACTTCCTCGAAGGGAGAATGGTGCGCGGCAGGTAGACCCTTTCGAAATTTCTCCCGAGAAGTTTCTTTTGTCATTCGCGGCGCGCTCGCACCGGGTCTGGGATCGCGGCCGAACGTACGCACTATCTTCAGGGACTTCGGCAAAGAAGAAATCCGTGATGCAGAACGGAGGGGGGGCTCTTTTTTTCTTTTCTTTAATCTCCGATATCGAGCGACACGTCACACAGAGAAGAATTTTTTCCTCGTATCTCACCTCCTCCCGCTCCTCGTCGCGAGAGAGCGGACTGTCGCGAATCTCCAGCCCGACGTCTTTTGTCTCGCACGTACGCGCTCGTCGGCCCGACCGGAAGCGGATAGTAGGGTCAGCACCGGCTATGGATGCGTTTTAGGAAGTGGAGAAACGGCGCCACTATATATCCACCGGCGGCTTTACCACTTCCACAGGCGCTCCGCCGATGCGGTGGAGGTGGTCGCCGCTACCAGGTGCCGTGCATCGCTCGCCCGCTCCTTCTCACCCGGGCCATTCGCGCGGCGACTACGCTCCGCTTCGTTCCTCCTCCTTCGTGCTCCTTCTCTCGCGCGATTACCGGGGCTAATGAGCTCGTCGCAAAAATCTATCTCCCGTTCGGGGAGTGCGGATCGCATTCTTCACCTTCTCAGCGTTCAAAAATACCCTGCGTCTTCAACTTTTTCTCCTTTGCGACGAACAATGAAATTTCGCGCAGATTACATCGAGATGAAATCCCACGGTCGCGTCTTTCTTCCTCGCTCGCTACGACCTTTATCGTTCAATCGACGCGCCAACGCGCGGAAATGCGGGTCGAAATTCGATTTCGAACGGAAATGGTTAGCTGCGCGTCCTTTTAAAATCGCGTCTCCCTTCGAGAGCGCTTTATCGCGCGGCATAATTGATTTTGACGAACCTTTTCACGCCGGTAATCGAGCGAAACCCTCGTTAGTTAACACCTCGACCGAGCGCGGGAAAAAGAGCCGACGAAAGAGAAACGACGGAGAGAGAGAGAGAGAGAGGGCCTACCGAAAAGCCGGCACGGTGGTGAACGATGATGACGATGACGTTGATGACGAGCGTAACCGCGGGAAAGCGAAAGTATCGAGAGGACCTTTCGGAGAGCTCTCGTTCGTCCGGAACAGGTACTTATGCTTTCGTTGCTCCTATTGTAGGCGTGGAAGAAAGAACTAGATCGGCCGCATTTTTCCACCTGGAAACACCTGGTGGCCCCGGGGATTTTTCCGTCCCCACTTCTCGCCCTCCCCTCCCCGCTCACCACCATCACCACTACCATCGGCCGTTCCGACGCTAAAATTCTTCGGAAAGACTAATCGGCCGGGCAGAGTCACGGCCTCCGGCTGGTTGACTAGGTCAGTAACTTATGGCCGCAGCGCGCCGTAAGAGGCGCTAAGCCGAACGAGTCTCCACTGAGTGACCTAGCCGCTAGCGGTAGAGCGTCTTAAGGTACTGGAAGAGGGGCCTGTGGAAAGGGAAGAGAACGCGGAAGAGTGTTGGGTATCTTTAAGACTAGGTCGCTCGGTCGCACCACTGTTGCACTATTTCGCTCTACCGTTTCATCGGTCATACGCTACTTTTCTCTCGAACTCGCGGATCGAAATATTCACTCCGCGAACGGAGGGATGGGGAGGAAAGATGGAGAGATCGTGAATTTGACACGGCGGGATCAAAAAAAAATGCCGATATATTATTCGTGTAATTTTCGAGTATCTCGAAAGTGGAGAAAAAAACCCGCACAGAGAGGCGCGAGAGAGAAGCGCAGCTGTCGAGGTACAAAATTGTCGTACTGTTGATTATTCGCGAATATAACAATATTTTATGTTAGAGAAGGAAAAAGAAACTCTGATTCCTCTGCCGAGTTAGCGACGGAAAATAAAACCTGTCAGCTTGGCGCGGGATCTCGCGTGACGATGTAAAATCGGTGGCAGTATTTTGGAATGATTTAGATCAGTTTGAGCTAAATTGATTGCGGTTCGAGAATAGCCGAGTGGTGCTATTATCGCCCTACTTTTGCCGCCATAACGGTACATGTCGTGGCGAATTAAACTCGGAATAAATGCAGCTTCGCGGGATTTTTCGTCGGTATTCGCATTAGCGATCTGGGCGTTGACCTATCGAGCGAAGCGCGCACACGGCGGTTAAACACATCCAGCGCGCTAAGTTTTCAGCGACGACTCGAGATTGCAATTCCAGGCATTTTTTGCAAACCGAAATTGTCACGCGGAGAGCCGGGCTTAAAATCCCCCCCCGATCGGTCGAATCGAGCGTCGACATTTTGCGAACGGCCCGATAGGAGGCGTCGAACACAATAAATGGAAGGAAAAAACGAGATCCCTCGGCGACGGAGTTCCTCTTTAAATCCTCCTCGCGGCGAAACAATCATCGGTGGAGGTGCATGTCGACGCTTTTTCCGGAGGGTTGAAATCAGGCGACCGGTGCATTAACCCTCCGGTCGTCGACCCTCCGAGCCAGTTACGTCACTCTCCCTCCTCCTCCCTCATCCCGCTGCCCTCTCCGCGCACCCCTTCCCACGGGGAAGCCCTCCCCCACTCTCCCCTCCTCGCTCGGGCAACCGTCATTTTTGACGTCGTAACGAGTCGCGATCTCATTTTCATTTGATTGCGCGAGTATTTCGGTGCTCGCGCTCGGGGTTACTGACCCCGGTGCATCTACTTTAGAATCGGGTCAGCCGCTCATTATCGCGGTAGGTGTTCGCTCGGCGCTCGGTATCTGTCCACCGGAGCGGGAGCTCTCGGAGATAACGCGCTTCCCCGCCGCGCGAAATCGGACCGGCGCAATTTTTACGCCCGATAAATTCGCCCCGCGAAACACGATATCATCGGGATGAGGGGGGGTAAGGAGCGTCGTTTCGCTCAACGTCTCGGCGAGTCGATAGTCCTCCCGAAGGATCCCGACGGGGGGCGAGAGGAGGGGTTCTAACTCGACGCGTCTACTATGATTCGGTGACAATGGGAGAGTCCATATCACACTCGCTGCTCCGGAGAGGCTCCCGCTCGTTTGCCCGATTCGGGAAAATACGGTGGATATTATTCCGGCTGAATCACGAGTGACTCAGGAGTGCTCGATCGGCGGAGAAACGATTCGGTCACGTAATAGAGTTCTCTCGTTAGAGCGAGTGCGGGTGTAGCCGGGCGCGAGATATCGATCGGTATCGACACGTAATCTCGCGACTGCACCGTCGCATCCGATAAGCGGCGGTGTAGAAAAGTGCGCACGCAGAGGAGGTTATCTCTGACCTCGGCGATCGACTTGGCCGATATCGATGCCCGGGCAACAGAACAGAGCGGAACGGCAAATTCTTGGGGTCGTAGGAGAGTGCCGGAGCCAGCTAGCTAGCGAGCGGTTAATGCCCCCGAGCGGAGCGGAGAGTGTCGCGACTGTTGGAGCGAGCGCACGCGCGCGCGCGTTACGTACGTCACCGTTACTCCGTTTCGCGTCCCCTTCTCTCCCCGGCCACCTCCTCCTCTACTTTTACTACACCTCCCGCCTCCACCCTCTCTCTCTCTCTCTCTCTCTTTCTCTCGGTGGCGGCAGATACGCTTACCTTCCCCTACCGTCCCTCGCTCGGATCGCCATTCCCCCCTCCCCCTCTATCCGTTGCAGCAGTCGCGCGCTCCGGTCGTTGGCCCCGCGACCACATCGTGTGTATGTCCCACACTCTCCTTGCCCTGCGTGTATGTGCGCGAGTGTACACGTACGGGAACGCGCGTACAAGCTCCTCGCTTATACCGTCACCGAGCGACGCCACTCCTGCCAGCTCGGCTGGTTGCCGCCGCTGCCTGTGCTTGCACGGAAAATAAAATTGGAGCTTGAATCGCCGCGCGACGGTCGACGACGGTGCCGCTAAATCGCGAGGATGATCGCCTCCCCCTCTCGGGGGGCTTCTTTTTCCGACGTCCTCCGCGAGATCGGGAAACCTGAGAATCTCGGTTTTCTTCCGCTTTTTTTTCCCCCTGGCGAAAATGCAAGAGGCAGCCGGTAAGGATTTGCGGAAATGAGTTTTCTCATCGCGGAATCGGGAACAGAGAATAACAGAACTTTCTCAAACCGGCGAAAGTTTCGGCGGATGCGAGCGGAGCGTTTCGTTCTCCTCTCGGTGCATTTTTCCCCGAGACTAAATATACCAGCGGGGGGTGAGCAGGCAACGGTCGTCGCTCGGACGAATGGAGCGTCTCGCGTTTAATCGGAAAAAGGGTTAATTCATTTCTCCCTGGCGAGTACCGGTGGAAGAAGGCGTGCGCGAAGGAAACAACTTGAGGTAGCGCGCGCGAAGGTGATCGCCCCCTGACCCGCCATGCACGGTTCGAGAGATCGATGCACCGCATTCCCCCACACGCCTCCTCCTTCACCCTTCGCTCGTCGGATTCCCGCCGACCGACAGGTTCAACAGGGGTTGCTGGCCTCGTCCGGGCATCCACGACGGTAGCTCGCGGCCCGATATTCGCCGTAATTTACCGAACTAATAAGAATCGTCGTCGGAGCGATTCGAACGAAAAATTCACGTCTCGCGTGGAAAAACAATGTTAGGTGTGTAACGACGTGTAAAAACGGGCGAAATCTCGGTCTCACGCTGTTTCGCGCGAAACGCCTCGCTGGCTGCTCGGCCGAAAAGTCGAGCGCGCGCGGTCGATCGATCGGAATCGTCGGCGAGGCTCAACATTGGCAACGCTTGACAGTTCATTGACTCGCGTCAAACGCGCCGATTGACAGCCCGGGCGGCAACGGTACATCGTTCTCTCAACGGGCACCGCACGAAGTTGAGGTAGGCGAGGTCGCGCGTCTGACGTCACGGCGGAGTTACTCGGCGACGAGCATCGCCAACTTTTCGTATGCGTACACGCGCGGCCGTCGACACGACGACGTGGACGACGGCGACGAACCGACGTGCAGAAGCTTCACGAAGGGTCCCCCACGCGTCGCGCGTTACGTAATGGTCTCGCGAGGTCGTTGACCGATACACGACGGGAAGTACCTTCGCACTGACCTACCCCTTTCCCAATTTTTATTCATTCCCAACTCCCCTCCTTCTTCTTCCACCTCTTTCGCGGTAAAACGTCTCCGTAGAGACTCGCGGAAGAGACGAAAAAGGTGTGCGAAGGGTTTCTATATTCGCGAGTGGGTGGGTGTGTTAGAGGGGTAGGCGGTGAGGGTAGCTTCTCCTGACGGAAGGTGGGGGAGAAGGGAGGGAAGAAACCCGTTAGTAGAGCGGCCGCGAGCCTCTATGGTAGCGCTCGCGGTAAATACGAGGAGGAGGACATCATCTAGGGTTCACTCGAGCGCGAGAGAGAGAGCGAGCGTGCGCGCGCGAGAAGAGGGAGACGGCCGAGGAGCGGCAGTGCGCGCAAGGGGGACTCTCACTTTCACGCGGTGAACTGCGGGTGAACGTCCGGGAATTGGGTCAGAGTGTCCCCCACCTCGGCACGCCAGAGGCAATGTGCCGAGGCTCTATGTTCTCTGTGCTAGAAAGAGCCAGTCCACAGCCAAGCTCCGATACAAACGGTCGCTTCTTTCCCCTCCGAAACTCGCGCGTTGTACTTGGTGCGCGCGAGAGGAGGCGCACTGCCGTCCGTGAAGAGAAATAGTGGATATCGGTTCCCGCGGGCAGGATAACCGTGGCGCCGTCGGCCACGGACGGGATAACACGGTGTGCGCGAGACTGTCTCCGGTTCGGTTGTTTGTTTGTCGGACTCGCCGTGCGTGCCAGCCTCACTTAGCCGGAGTGGATTAATGGGGTGCTTGTGCGAATGTGATCTGGCCACCCCGCGCACGGGGACCGATAGGGGGTCTTCGTCGGAGAGCGACGGTCAGATTGACGAGGGTTTTGCCGGTGATTCGCAGGGCTTCTTCCGCCGGAGCATCCAGCAGAAGATCCAGTATCGGCCGTGCACGAAGAATCAGCAGTGCAGCATCCTCCGGATCAACAGAAACCGCTGCCAGTATTGCCGTCTCAAAAAGTGCATCGCCGTCGGCATGAGTCGTGATGGTGAGTCTCTCGATTCATACGAACTAACGCAAGCTCCTCCTCCCCGCCGTAAGTCGAGGAAAATCGATGTTTCGCCCTCTGAATAAGTCGAGAGAAGATGACGAGTCGCGTAAAGGGAGTTTCTAAAATTTAGATCGCCGGGTCGTCGACCGTTTGCGTAACGTCGTTCCCCGCGACGGAGTGTCGCAACGGGCGAAAGTAGCCAGCTCGCCGTTCGAGAAAGCAACGGCGATTATCTCGCGCGCTCTCTCTCTCTTGCTTTCTTTTCGAAGCGATTGATCGTTTTTCGGCCGCGCATCCCCGGCGGGATCATTGACCTAGGTCGTCGACGTGTCGCGAATATATCTGCGCTCGCTCCCTCTCTCTTCTCCGAGCAGCTGCGAGATACTTGGAAATTCGTCGATTTTCGATCGTTCCGCCGAGCCCACCTCGACGCGCGCGATTCGCGGGGTCAATAGACGCTCGCGTCTGGCGGGCGACTCCGTGGAAAGAGTACCGCTACTCGCCGCTACGTCCCCGATGACCCTCCTTCTCTCTCTCTCCCCACCTCGCGTCGGCTTCTTCGCGAAACGTCCCCACCGGCGCGCCGTCGCGTGGCGCTACACTCTGTGCGGAGACCTCGCGAACTTTGCTTCACAACTACCTTCCCCTACCTCGGCGTGCCTCTCCCCACCTACACCACGGATCCACCTGGCTGGTAGGCGCATGCTCCCGTCGCGGCGTCTGACCAAAGTTGTACCTGACCAACTGGTCACAGCGCTTCGCGCTGCTGCGGCGTCATGACCGTTCGCCACTTTCCTCGGTTCCGCACGGACCGAGTAGCTTTGGGAAGACGCGCCGCACGCGGAGCGATCGCTCGTAAATCCGCGGGCACGACGGTAGTTTAGCGGGGTCGGCGCGTTTTCAAGATCGATCGTCCGCAAATAGATAAGCCGGCTATCGACGGCTGCCGAGGGGTTGCCCAAGGTCGCCGGGGGTAAGTTACCCCCGACAACGCATCTGCGCACACAGATCCCCCGGAGTGTCTCCGTCGCGCTCTCTCGACGACGCGTACATTCGCTCGCTATATAGTGTATATAGGTCGGCGGTACGCCGCGTGCGGCTGTCGCTGAAACCAAGTTCAAGGCCAAAGGCTCGGCAAAGGCCACAATCGCGCGCGCGAGAGAGAGATGGTGGGGGTCGTTGATGGCTGAATAAGTGGAGGGGCTGTTGAACGCAACCCGCGGAACATCACTCAGTCGGCGGTGATGCTGTCTCGTGTCTGCACGCGTTCCACCGTCGCGCTCCTACCTCAAAGTCGGAGCGGCCTCTCCTTCGACTCGGAGTGACTCGCGGAGACTCGAGTCAGCCGTACGAGAGAGAGAGAGAAGTTGCGGCCGGCTGAGGCCGCGCGCGCGCGCACGCGAGCAGTGATTCAGTGTATCGACGCACACGTGCGCGCGTGAAAGTGCAATCTCGTCACGCGTAAACACACGAAGGGACAGTCGAACGCGTCGCGTTTGTTTCCCCCGAACCGTCATGGGAGACGAGCTGCCGATACTGAAAGGGATCCTCAACGGAGTAGTCAACTACCACAATGCACGTAGGTGTTCTCGGACGACCCGCCCTCTCCTCGGAGCGCGCTTTCTAACCGTCGAAGATTCGTACTTTCATCTCTCGCGAGAAAGTCGTGCGCTTTCCCCTCTGACTTTTTTCCACCTTTGGCGCGAAACCGCGCTGGAAGAGGTTTTACCTCTCTCTCTCGCTCCGTCGTGCGCCGCGCGACGTAGGTTCGCGCGCGCGAAGGTCATCTCGGCGGCCGGTTGCATGATTCACCCATTGATCGCATCAACTATTTATCGTCGTCCTTCCTTTCTCTCGACGAGGCTGTGTTTCTAACCCCCGGATCCCATCCGTTTCTCATTGCAGCGGTGCGATTCGGCCGCGTGCCCAAACGCGAGAAGGCCAGGATTCTGGCTGCCATGCAGCAGAGCTCGCACAGCCGTTCTCAAGAGAAGGCGGTAGCGGCCGAGCTGGAGAACGAGCAGCGCCTGCTGACGACGGTGGTGCGGGCCCACCTCGACACATGCGACTTCACCAGGGACAAAGTCGCCCCGATCCTCGCCAGAGCCCGCGAGACTCCCAACTACACCGCGTGTCCACCGACCTTGGTGAGTACACGCTCGACCTTTCGTCTTGACATTGGCGGGATCTACGCCGTGACGTCAATATACCGTCTCTCGATCTTTCTTTGCGGAAATGGCGCGCGAGAAGCGGGCGACCTCGGCGAGGAAGGAGGAAGCGAGCGAGACGCCTCTCTCGCGTCGTCTCGCGAGGACGCCTGGTACGACGCGGCTCAACGATTCGTCGTCTCTTCTGTTCCAGGCATGCCCCTTGAATCCTAATCCGCAGCCGTTGACCGGCCAGCAGGAGCTGCTGCAGGACTTCTCCAAGAGGTTCTCGCCGGCCATACGCGGCGTCGTCGAGTTCGCGAAACGCATACCTGGCTTCAGCCTGCTGGCTCAGGACGACCAGGTCACCCTACTGAAGGCGGGTGTGTTCGAGGTGCTGCTCGTACGACTGGCCTGCATGTTCGACGCTCAAACCAACAGCATGATTTGCTTGAACGGCCAGGTGCTGAAACGCGAGTCCATCCACAACAGTAGTAACGCGCGATTCCTAATGGACTCGATGTTCGACTTCGCCGAGAGGGTCAACTCACTGGGCCTGTCCGACGCCGAACTCGGGCTCTTCTGTTCGGTGGTGGTGATCGCCGCCGACAGACCCGGGCTGCGCAACACCGACCTGGTCGAGCGCATGCACAACAAGCTGCGAAACGCCCTGCAGACGGTGCTGGCGCAGAACCACCCTCAGCATCCCGATATCCTGCGGGAGCTGCTGAAGAAGATACCGGACCTCCGGACTCTCAACACTCTCCACTCGGAGAAGCTGCTGGCTTTCAAGATGACCGAGCAGCAGCAGCAGCTGCAGGCTCAGCAGCAGCAGACGCAGCACGTGATCACCGCTCAGCCGCACTGGCCGATGGAGGAGGAGCCGCCGGCCTCCTGGAGCTCCGCTTCGGACGTGACTCTGGACGAGGCGGTGAAGAGCCCGCTGGGCAGCGTCTCGAGCACCGAGAGCACCTGCAGCGGCGAGGTCGCCTCTCTGACGGAATACCACCACGTCGCGCCGGCCAGCAGTCACCACGCGTCGAGCGCGCCTCTCCTGGCCGCCACCCTGGCCGGCGGGCTCTGCCCGCACAGACGACGAGCGAACTCCGGCAGCACCAGCTCCGGCGACGACGAGCTCCATCGCTCCGCCGTGTCCAAGACACCGCAACCGCCGCAGTGCTCGCGGTTCCGCAAGCTGGACTCGCCGAGCGACAGCGGAATCGAGTCCGGCACCGAGAAGCCGGACAAGCCGGCCAGCAGCAGCGCCAGCAGCGCGCCCACCTCCGTCTGCTCGAGCCCGCGCTCCGAGGACAAGGAGGTCGAGGACATGCCGGTGCTGAAGCGCGTGCTGCAGGCGCCGCCGCTCTACGACACCAACTCGCTCATGGACGAGGCTTACAAGCCCCACAAGAAGTTCCGCGCCCTCCGGCAGAAGGACTCCGCCGAGGCCGAGCCGGCCGTGGTGGTCCAGCACTCCCAGCTGCACCTGCACCTCACCTCGCCGCCGGCGCCAAGTCCACCCGCGGCCCAGTGCCAGCAGACCGCCAGTCTGCTCAGCAGCACGCATTCCACCTTGGCGAGGAGCCTGATGGAGGGCCCGCGGATGACGCCGGAGCAAATGAAGCGCACCGACATCATACACAACTTCATAATGCACGGCGAGGCCAGTCCCGGATCGCCGTCGCCGGCGGAGCAGTGCGCCTCCACCACCACCGTGACCGCGCGCTCCACCCAGGGCTCTCAGGGCCTCCTGCAGTGCGCCACCGCGAGCTACAGGTGGCCGGCCACCTCGGTCATCACGACGACCACGGGCGCGCGACAGCAGTCTTCCTCGGACTACCTCGCTGTCGGCAACTCCCCGGCCTCGTCGCCGAGGTATCTGTCCGCGGCGGCGACCAGCAGTACCAGCACCAGTCCGAGGCCGAGCACCGCCGCGGCCACGCTCGTCCTCTCCGGTTGTCCCAGCAACATGATGGAGCTGCAGGTCGACATCGCGGACAGCCAGCAGCCGTTGAACCTCTCGAAGAAGTCCCCCTCGCCCTCGCCATCGCCCAGACCGTTGCTCGGACCCTGCAAGGCTCTCTCCCTCGAGGCGTAGTGTTCTCGCGTGCTCGAGTGATCTCCCGTGACGCGTGGAACCTTCGATCCTTCGATGAGATATCCGCCGGCGCGGACTCTCTCGCCGGTGGTGACGCGGTGCAACCTTTCCCGGCCCCTCGACTAATACAAAGTGCCAGGACGCTCAGAGCGCGTGACAAACCAAATAATTTATTAATTTAAAACCGCTAATCGCGCCCGAGAGAGAGAGAGAGAGGGAGAGAGGAGGTGGAGGTTACAGAGAGGGAAACGAACGTGGTATTACCACCGCCGCCTCCGCGTGTAATATTCACAGACGGACGCGTTCAGTACCGCGTCATTCAGTTGCCGAGTGTGCGAGAAGGAAGAAAAATAAGCAACATGACGACGCTCGCGCGCGACGAGTGCCGTTCCGCGGAAGAGCAACGCGCAGGGGAGCCAGCGATCCACCTAAAACTACCTATCTACCTGTCTACCTACCTAAAAAAAAAAAACCTATCTGCTCTAGATGTACATCTAGAAGATGGAGCATCCGCGACGGAAAAATAAAAACGAAAGGTTGAGTGTTACAGAAATTAATAATCTATCTACATGTGATAATCATGGAAATCGCGCATCCTGTACAGTCTCCACCTCATTCATCGATCATCTGTACTCTATTATAATTATTGAATATTATAAAACTAATTAATATTATTGTAATATGTGTAAGGTATCATAACCGTAACAAATTATCATTTCGTGTATGTGTGTAGATGGAGACGTGTGTGACACTCTTGTACGAATGGCGAGAGAGAGAGAGAGAGAGAGTGAACGAGAGAGAGCGAGAGAGGGAGAGAAAGGGAAATATACCGGGAGAACGTGGAAGCGAGAAAGACGGATCGTGCGAGTGGACGAGTGAGCGTGCTTGTGCAAATGAGTCGGGGCAAATCGAAAAGCTTCTCGAATCGCGCGGTGGCAACCGAGAAACGGAATCGCGCACGCGATTTTCAACATTTAAGCGTTTTGTTATGAGACTGATCGGCCCGCCGCGGGCCACCAGTTTGCAATTACCGTACCTTTATACTACGTGTCGTGTCTCTCTCTTCGTCGGGGAAACGACTCGCGAAGTAATTATATCCTTTAATCGCGCCGTATAGCGAGATATAGGTATCGTAGGCCCGCTTAAACGCGTTATACAATATTATGTGTCGTGTGTGCATGCATGAAAGTCGGACGGATAGCTCGAGAACAGAGTCGCGAAAGAGAAAGCGGAGATACGGAGGAAAGAAAGGGAAGAGTAAAAGAGTAACACAGGAGGAGAGAGCGAAAGAGGGGGAAAGAGAGAGACAGAAGCCGCGAAGCGTTCGAGCAAAGCGGAGCTCCGATAGGATGGCGAAGCGCAATGTAAATAGTAGATACGTAAGACTATGTCCTGGTAGGCGCGAATGAAACCTCTTCTGCTTCGACGAAATCTCGAGGGAAAGTTAGAAGATACGCGGCGGGCCGCTGCTGACGTGTTGTTGAGACGCCCGCCCTCGTACCACTCCCCCCCCCCCAATCACCCCGCATTCCCGAAACCCCAGCATGAATATCGCATCGAGAAACACGCGTACACACCCGCAATACACACACACACGTACACACGCTGAATCGAGCGAACAAACCGTTCTTGAAACAGTCGTAGAAACACTTACGGCCTCCTTCCGACGCGGACTAGATACCCCCCCTCCCCTACCCCTTCCCGTCGGTTCGGCTCGAAAGGAGCTCCGCGTCAAGCAAGTCGATACACACTCTCGCGTGCCGGCTCCGTCCTCGCGTCAGCCGTATCGAAAGCGAGTCACGATGAAATTCGGCCGAATTAAAAGGGAATCTAGCCCCGAGCCTGGAACGGGTCGTTGACGAGAAAACACATTCAGTCTCCCGGCTGTGTGAAGTATCATCCCCAGCCCGAGATATTCCTAACACACACACACATACACACCCAGCTTAGAAGCCTCTCTGTATTTATTGTATCTAAAACGCATCTCCTTCGCCGTGTCGCGTGTGTCGCGCGTCCACCTGTTTGTCCAAGCGAACCCTCGTAGGATCCTTTCTCTGGCTGTCTTTACAAGATACAGACACACTCACACACACATATCAGACACGCTCACACAGACAGATATAAACACGGTACGCAAGTGCACACACACACATCTACGACAGCGACACGCATCTTTTGCATACACACACACACACATAAAACTCGAACTCTGTACGAACACTTGTCTTGTCCCTTTCCCCGCAGACAACCTAGCGTTGATATTCGTAATACTTGTTATGCATAAACTACACATAATGATTATTATAGTAAACGATACATAAAATATGATATATTTCCCTATCCATTAAGAAGGAAAATACAAACAGCTGTTGTTTCTGGTGGAAAAAAAAAACGAAAAAATATGGATAAAACGTACTCTACTACATGCAAGAATACAAATGCAGCCCCGCATATTGCCCAGTGAGCACGTCATTTTGTACGCTTGGGAGTTGTGAGGTCGTCTGAATAAACATTGTCTGGTGAATTATACATAAAAAAAAATCTCGCCTCTCGTTATTTATCTCTGGTCTACCGATTCCACCGCAGAGCCGAGATCCTGTCCTTACCCGTCGAGGATCTTCGAGCCCCATTCCTCGGCGATTCTCTCTCTTTTTCTCGCCTTGTATCGCCTTATATCACTAACGTCGAACTGCGATCGGTGCTGATGTGAGAAGCACGCGTGATCCAACTGGAGACGCGCAATGCGGAGATGACTCCTGAAGGTGCAAATGTAACATCCATTCGCGAGATTACGTAATCATATCGAGAATTCCGAAGCTCGCATATTTAAAGAAATGCTTCCAGAAAATCAAAAACTTTCCAAACGAACATTTAAAAGATATTTCCCTCGCATGGAAGCGAATCCGTTTCGCGTTACTTGGAAGTCTCGTTTCACTCGGTTTTACGATCACCTTGCAATATGTCACGCGCTTATATCAGCCGTACATGGCTCTTTTTCAGCCGTGCCTTGAACTTTTGCTCGGCCTTGGTAAGTATTTGGACACGATCGGAAATTTTGGACGGGAGAGAAGGACAACGGGTCGCGCGAGTGTGTCCCACGAGGAAGTTTAGCGAACGACGTCTCGTCGTCATCCGCCATTTGTTATTTTAATCATTTCGAGCGCGCGCACGCGCAAACGAACGGACGATCGTCGTCGGGTCGGAACAATAATTATTCACACGAGACAGCGCGATAAATGGAACCGATGGGAGAGATAGAAAAAAAGCGTCTGATTCCGATGGCGCAGCGAGATTTAATCGCGACGCCCGCAGCGACGTTTTCCCGTCGTGTAATTGCTTTCTCGGGCTTTCCGCGAGCGCGGGATCCACCAAATCCGCCCACGGCGGGGTGGCGGTATATAAGGGAGGGGAGCGGGCGGCCAGCGCACAGCGAGTTCGCGTAAACACCTACGGGTAGAGGCGCGTGGCGCACCGTGGGCGTCGGTTGCCACGCAACCCCCCCGTCTCTCGCTCTAACGTTAACTGTCCTATCGTGAACTCTGCACTTCGCCTCGACGACGGCCGGCCGCCGTGTGTCGATGATACCGCCGCTCCTTCTGACTACCGTGTGTCACACCGGGGCGTTGAATTTCGAGCCAAGGCGGCTGATTATCATCGGCGCGACGATAACGGTTGAGTCGAGGATAAAACGGATTGGAGAGCTGGTAATCCCCGCGCGCGCTTGTTACACCGGAATTCCGGGCCGCGCAAACAGAACGCTTCCGATTACGGTAACGAACGACGTTGGATTCGCTCGAACCTTACATTCCAGAGACCCGGCCTCTGTCTACTGTTGCGTTGCTTCGTCCGTGCGCACATCTAAGATCGCGACGCGGCTACATTTGACGTCAGTCCTCGATCTACCGTACACTCGTTATCGGACGTATTGTGCGTCTGGTACGCGGCCGTTAATCCGCGTTAATTCCCGTCTCTCTCTCTCTTTTTCTCATCCTCCCGAGTTATCCGTTCGCGTCGAGTGTATCGGTCGTCGTCGCCGGATTAAGCGGCAAAAAGAGGAGGAGAAGCAGACCGCCGTCGTCGCGAGATCGACATGGAGCGAACAATAAACCGTCAAACACAGAGCTCGCTGTCGAAGGCCGCCCGTTAACCCACGCATATGTGTGTATTCGTGTGTGTGATACATATCGCGCGTCCCGTATCGCACACGGTATAATTAAGCGCAATATCAACTCGCGACTCCGGACGTCTCAACGACGCGACGCGGCGAGGAGTAAACAAATAAAGGAATTAGCTGTCCACATAATACAATTGAAATTTAGTTAGTACCAGTTAGCTCAGCGGTACCAGATCTAGTTTTTTATTGTGGCGGTCGAAAAGTAGGCACGGGGACAGGAAAACGTTTTTCATTCAAAGGAAAAAGCCACTAAGAACACGGATCGTTCAATGCCATTAGAACGAAATTTCAATCGAAACGTCATTTAATAAGTCATGTCACACTTCACGCGTTTCGGTCCTATTCGAGCCCTTTTCAATGAATCAGTTTAATCACCATTAATAATATTCAACGTGTCAGATAGTGGTATTTATCTTTAAATGTGTCTAATGTATAATCCTTTCTTACCGTTTTTCCTTTAACTTTTTCTGCGGATATTGGACATTTCGCGACGGTCAATAGTGCCATTCGTCGTCCTGTTATCAAAGGCGAACCGACAGCGGGGGGGGGGAACGGCGTTGAAAAAAAATGAAAACAAAGCAGGAGGGGATGCTGGCCTCGGATGTGTCCGCGATCTCGGCTGGACCTTGAACGCACTCCTTTGACCGCAGCGCACGAGGGCTTTTATGCGTGGAGCCAAGGGCGGAAGCGTGGGGTAAGGGGGAGGCTGGATACGCGGCTCGCGAGGGCGTCCTGGAGGCTAAAACACAGTCTGGGAATGTACTCCGTTTGCCGAGGGACAGCATGTATTCATTCTGCGGACAACACCAGCTGAAGCCGTCTCGTGGCCGCGCGCGCGTCATCGCGAAGACAATGCTTGCCCCGCGCGCGCCATTTTCCAATATAATAATAACTAGCTTCCGAGAAGCGGCTCGTCGAATCGCGGGGTACATATCGGAGGGAATCCAACTGATCCTCGGGGATGCTACAAGGGTTACAATATCCCTCTTCTCCTCTACTTTCTCACATATTCTCATGTTGAAGTGACGCAAAAATTTCAGTGGGCCGTCATTTACACAAACACTTTTTACTGTGTGCTATTTCAACGCGTCTCACTAATTTATGTGTAAAATAACACACGTAATCAATTATACATAACAAATTAAATATATAGCCAACGAAACGAGCTAACGCGCATATGCAGCGAATAAACTGCATTCATTTGCCCCGTATCTTCGGCGATTAAAATTTCAATCGAGCGTGGAAGCAATCGACGTAAATGAGCGCGTGGCAATTGACATGTTAAAGAGGAACGATTTGCACTCGTCACCTCCGGCGTGATGATTCGCGCACGAATTCCGCGTAGTATCGCGAACTCGTTCGAGAGGAGAGGAGACGGCGGGACGCTCGCGCCTCCATTATCCTTCGCGGCGCTCTTCCGGGTTAACGCACTTTCGTCCTTCGAATGCCTACCCTATCGACCTACGTCTTTCGGCCCCGTCGCACTCCTTCCAGGCTCCTCTCTCTCTCCCCCTCTCTTTCTCGCCACGTGGCAAGGTCGCGACCCTCGCGAAAAACCATCCTTACGCACGAAATAGGCTCGTCCTGGCCCGGGCTTTTTCACCCCTCGCTGACTCGAAAATTTACGAGCGGCACGGCCTTCGGCTCTTCAAGCCGGCACCACGCGTGGGCCACGGTAGGAAACCTTTCGTGAACCTCCTCTCCCCTCCCCCCTTCACCGCCGACTATTCGATAATCCCTCAGGGACGAATTCGCGTACCGTAGATCTCATCGCGATAGAACTTAAACGCGGCGGCACGTCGCTTCTCGGGAAATCCACTTCGTTTATTGAACGCGGTCTGTTAATGGCACGTATGGGCAAATTTAACGGCGCAGATATCTTTTTCACCGTCGGGGCGCGTTTGAATACTCGGTTAATTTAACACTTCGATAATAACAGCTGAAGTACCCGAGCGAACCTCTCCCCCCTCTCATTTTCCAAGCGTTCCCGCTTTCGTTACGACGATAGCGCTTAAAGTGCTCGAATCGGCACCGTTTCGTACTAACTTACCGTCCGGTGGAGCAACAAAAAGAGAGACAGGAAGTCGAAGATACAGCCTCGTGTCGGAAATGAAGAACGACTAGGTACACCTTGACCTACCATCCTTGGCCGTCACACACGACGATACGTGAAATAATATTTGTGCTCGACGGTACGCGGAGATGACCGGTTCGTAGGGGAGTTAAGGCCTTGAGCCAACAAAGAGCAAACACTCATTATCAACCACGAGCAATGTCAAGCGACAAGCGAGTTTCTCTCCTCTCACTTTTCGCACTCTCTATCGGGCGGATCGCTAAATCCGTTGAGCCTTCGGAACGCGGACAGGACGTATTATTGCCGCGATACCTAGGAGACGCACTCGGGGCGAGTATCTTTATCGCCCAATATTTATTACTCGTCACGCGAGGCGAGTACTTCAGTGGATAGTAAGCTGGTAACAGCTGGATGGTATCAAGAATTGGCAACTCGCGACGCAGTAGTCTCGATATATACGTCGGGAGGAACATTGGATCATCGAAAGAGTAAGATAAAACGTGTAAAAGAGAAAGGATCGCTCCGATGGCGATAACTATGCGCAAGGACAATCGGAGAAAACACAATTGACACCAAGTTATACCTTATCCGGGCCGAACGGATAGAATGTTGAGGTTAATGGGAATGGGATATCGGAATCAGGGTTACAAAAAGTCCGACAGGTGCGCCGAGCAGAGATTTCCGAGGAGAGAGAATCATCTGTTCAATGTCGAAGCGCCGGGCAAAGGTAATCGTTGAGTATTGTTGTCTAATAAGCAAATATTTGTAAAAGTACCGCCCGCCAATTATTAATAGACTTTGGATATATTACAGCACAACTAAAAGTGAAACATGTATTTTCTTACATATGACGCTTATAAAGGTTAAAATAAGCAGAAGATAATTCAACAAAATTAATGATAATAAACGAATATTTTTAAAGTCGTACGTGAGATATCAAAACAATTATTTTATAGTATATTCACACAATATGTTTCAAAATTCTACAATAATAATAAATATTCTCCTGATACCAAAAAGCGGAAAACTGAAAAAAAAATTAGTAAACTTCCAAATTTCCTGCTAGGTATTCGTGCGATCATCTTATTTATTATATCCTCCTGATACTAAAATGTAGGAAAATCTAATTTGAAAGGAAGAAAAATTCATCAAATTTTAAATTTCTCGCAGAGAATTCATGCTACCATATTCGCTTGTTATTTCTCCCTCATTTCCCACATGGGGAAAGAGTAAAGCAAAATTCTGCAATTTTACGATTTTGTAACAGGAGAATATAATGAGTG